GAATTGTGACACCAGGGCAGGCTGAGAGCCACTACCCTGCCAGAAACTTGCATGAGGAAGGGGCTCCCCAGAACCATAAGAGTCCGGCCTTAAACCCAGTGAAGTTCTGACAAGTTTTTGTTTTCAAGTTGATAGGTCCTGTGCCTCCATCATAAATTTGTTTTCAGCCAGAAGTGGATTTAAAGAGAAATAGATCCAAGTTTCTGAGTTTGCAAACAAATCTCTCTATGGGAATAAAAAGGGGGACCGAGCTCCATGGCTATGCCATATGCTGCCAGCAGAGGGCAGTATCCCCTTCCCAGCACTGCCAGGAGGCAGGAGCACCTGTCCTGGACTGGGTTGGTCTGGTTCCCTCCTCCTTTCAGGGTTGGTGACCTGCCCTCCAGCCAAAGTGCAGGGTGCTCCCACTTGTCAGGTACCAGCCAAAGACTCAATCTGCCACCAAGGAGATCTGTGAGTCCCAGAGGAGCAGGACACAGCACAGGTCCTCTGCCTGTGTGTGGCTTCCCCTGGGCCAAATCGGGAGCCAGGGCAGCGCTCACCTTGTACCTCTCAGCAAGCCGGAAACCCAGGACGTGCTGCAGCTTCCTCAGGCAGATGGGGCAGAGGTCTGGGGGCCGCCGCAGGGCTTCATCCAGACTGAGCGCCCCTTGCATGAGGCATCGGAGCCAGCGGCAGCTCCCCAGGCCCAGGAGGTGGCAGAGTTCATGGCATGTGACCTGAGGGGGAAGGCCACCAGCCTTGTCTCACAACCCTGCCCTCTACCTACAGACCCCCAACCCCTGGTGAGGACAGACTGCTGGCAAATGGTCCAAGCACACCTTCCCCTCTGGGGGCTCAGGGGAAGCCAACAGCATGGGGCTTGGGAGCCAGGTAGATCATAGGTCAGATCCCAGCCATCCCCCAGAGCTATGTGGCCTTTGGCAAAACACTTGGCATCTATGAGCCTCGATTTCCTCACTCCGTAAAGTGAGGGACTGACCTCTTCCTGGAGAGAACTGGACAATATAACTGGGCAGGCAGAAGGCTCAGCCAGAGCCCACTATGACCTTCCTCTGAGGACACATCCATAGCTGCCCAGCCACCCACCCTCTTCCTGTCCCCCATGCCTACCTTGCAGCACTGTACCACCCCCAGGGCACTGAAGCAATGGCTCCTGCCTGTGTCCTGCAGCGGGGTCTCAGGGCCATTTGCTGCCTCCTCAAGCAGACCTGGATCAAGGTCATTGGGCCCCACCTGAGAGAATTTCCCTGAGAACCGGGCGAAGCTGCAGACTCCCACATCTGGGGAGAGGGAAGGACAAGGGGACTCAGTGGGCAGCCTCAGCTTCAGGGAGCCTGGACTGAAAGCAGCCCATCCTCTCTTGCAACCCAGGCATGGCCTGAGCATGAGCCAGTCCTGGGAGACCCTGCCCTGCCATTATGCCCACATGAAGGCCGGCCCTGAGGCAGCAGCCAAGCCAGCCTCTTGCCCAGGAATAGCAAAAATGTGGGGGAATCAAGATCACGCAGCTGTTTCCACAGGTGTGTGTCACCCTCCCCTGGGGCAAGAGCACATGCCAGGCTCCCTCTAGGTGGAAACTGCAGGGCCCCAGCTCACCATGCCCTGGGAGGGACTTGCTGAAGGTGAAGCTCCAGGTCTCGTGGGGGTACAGGTCAGAAAGCGTGAGGCCTAGCACACACAGTGCGTCATCTGGCTTGTTGTTCTTCAAAAAGGACAGGATACCATCTAGGAGGAGAGTGCTGGGGGTCAGGAGGTGGCTAGGGACCCATCTCCAGCCCCTGCTCAGGGCAGGCTGATAGATATGGAAATGGAGACATTATTCTGTATTAACTAGAAGGTCAAGGTCAGAATGAGAGACCTGAGCTGCAGTACTATTTTGGAGGACAGAGGAAGAGGCCACAAGCCAATGAATGCAGACATCCCTGGAAACTGGAAAAAGTGGATAGATTCTCCCCAGAGCCTGAGGAGGAACGCAGCCCGCCCACACCTTGACCTCCACGCAGGGAGACTCCTAACCCACAAAACTGTAAGACCAGTTGTGTGGTCATCAGTTACAGCAGTGATAGGGACCAACACTCCCCAGGAGTGTGGGCATGGGCAGGGCTGTGGAAGCCAGGACACAGTCAATGAGGGGCCCAAGGGAGGGAGAGGGAGGGCCCAGCCAGGTCCCAGGAAACCAGGAGAGTCTCTAGTGACTGAAGAGGGAAGAGAGGGCAGGGAAAGGGAGGGGGAAGGCCACCATAGAGAAAGTGCTTTCTGAGGAGCAGGGAGGCAAGGTGGTGGTGGGAGGGGCATCTCCACAGAGGCTGAGTGTGACCTTGACCAGGAGCCAGGCAGGGGAAGCCAGGTGAGAGAAATGCTGCAGGTGGGGAGCCGTATGGAAGGAGGGACAGAGTCGCCTCTGATTGTGTCTCCTCAGTGGAAAGAGTCAAGAAGGAGGGGGAAGAGCAGTGAGCACTTCTGGGGCACCACTGAGGGCCCTGGCCCTGCATCTCAGGGAGCCCACCAGCACATCCCATCGTGGGTGGAGGTTCAAGCAGGGGTGGACCATGCAGGGAGAGGAAGGAGATGCGGGAGAGGAAATGGGAACCAGGAATTCTAAGCTTAGGAAGGGACTCAAGAAACAAGAGGTAGATCAGGGGGTGAGGAAGGAACTAGAGACACAGGCAGAAGATGCTGGAGGAGGCCATGGGGGACACGCTCTGGCTTATGGAGATGATATAGCACATCATTGTCAGTGGAAATACAGCCTGAGCTATACATATAACTTTAAATTTCCCAAAAGTAAAAAAGAAAAGAGAACAAATTGATTTTAACAATATGTTTGATTTAACTTATTATATCCAAAATATTTTCTTACTCAATTTTTTTTTTTATAATTTAGGATTGAACCCAGAATACTCAACCACCAAGACACATTCCCAGCCTTCTTATTTTTTATTTAGAGACAGGATCTTTTTATTTTATTTTTTTTAAATATTTTTAATTTAGTTGTACACAACACGTTTATTTTGTTTATTTATTTTCACGTGGTGCTGAGGCTCGAACCCAGGGCCTCTTGCATGCTGGGCGAGCACTCTACCGCTGAGCGACAACCCCAGCCCTAGAGACAGGATCTTGTTAAGTTGCTTAGGGCCTCACTAACTTGCTGAGACTGGCTTTGAACCTGCCATCCTCCTGCCTCAGCTCCAGAGCCATTGGGATTACGGGCAAGCACCTGTAATCTACACTGCACCCAGCTACACACATACTCAAAATTTTTTAATTATGCTTTTGTTTGTTTTGATGCAACTGAGGATTGAACCCAGGGGCTCTTTACCACTGAGCCATATCCCCAGCCATTTTTATTTTTTATATAGAGACAAGGTCTTGCTAAATTACTTAGGGCCTCACTAAGTTGCTGACGCCAGCCTTGAACTTCCCATCCAGCTCCGGTGCCTGAAAGCTTCAGCCTGTAATCCCAGCTACTCCAGAGGCTGAGGCAGGAGGATCACAAGTGCAAACCCAGCATGAGACCCTGTTTCCAAAAAAAAAATTTAAAGGACTGGGGATGTAAATCAGTGGGTAAGTGCCCCTGGGTTCAATCTCCCTTACCACAATAAAATAAATAAAAAGAAGAGTAAACTAATTTGTCAAACAAAATGTCCAACAATCAAAATAACAAGGTGCACCAGGAGCAAGATAACAGATTTGGCAGAACCAACCAACACAGCCAGCTGGGCCCTAGGCAGATGCTGTGAGCTGCTGTCAGGGGACAGGAACCCTGCGTCCAACCACAAAAAGAAAGAATCCACTGGAAGCTACAGAACTGCCACTCAGGGTGACAGAATGAGGACTGGTGTGGTGAGGGGCACTTCAGACCCTGATGCAGAGAGTGCTGGAGGTGAGTGAATGGAAGTATGAAGGCTGGACAGAAATCTCAGCAGCAAGAGGGGAGCCCGTGGCAGTGTGGGCCACAGGCCAGTGAAGAAAGCCCGTGCTGAGCAGTTCCCAGAACATGAACAACACTGATCCACTCTTGCCAGAGAGCACCTGCTTGGGAACCTCCCTGGGCTTGCGTCTAAGTCTCCTGTCCACTCAGGCCTCATTCCTCGGCTGGCCTCACTCTCCAAAGGCCAACAACCTGCAGGCACAGATAGGGCCTCAAGGACCGGGTCATCTGGCCACAGGAAGGCCCTTGCAAAGTGAATGTCTGGAGCAAAGCTGAGCAGCTTTCAAAGGGTGCCCCTCACCTGCTCTGCATCCCAGGGAACACTCTGGGAGTGGGCCCTGAGCTGTGGGGCCAACTCCATAGACTGCTGGGTAGGAAGAGGAACTCCTTATTCCCATTCTGTCCAAAAGGTGGGGAAAACTGATGCCCCACAGAAGAGCAAACAAGTTCCTTCTGTCTCTGGAGCTCCTTCCTCCCCTTTTCTTTCCAGAATCGGCCTTTTGCTACACAGTGGGATGGGGTCTCGCTGGCCCTGCCCTGGTCTGGGCTCCGCCCCCAGCCTGGCTCACCTGTGTGGAGCTGCCGCTCACCAGAGTCCTGACTGGGGCGCGAGGAGCAACAGATGGACGCAGCCGCTACAGAGGGCAGGCACTTGACCCGCAAGCCCAAGAAGAAGGCCTCCACGCAGCTCCGCAGGTGGTCCAGCAGGGGGCATCCTGCCAGCTCCTCGCTCAGATCTGGGGGCAGAGCAGCTGGTCAGCCCCACTGTGCCCCCAAAGCATCAGGGAGCTGCCACCAACACTGGCCATCTGGGCAAACAAGGCCAGTGCCCAGACAAGAGGCCAGGAAACCTGGCATTGTGGTGCAAAGACTGAGATAGGAGGATTCCAAGTTCAAGGCCAGACTGTGTCAAAATAAAGAATAAAAAGGGCTGGGATGTAGCTCAGTGGTAATCATCCCTGGATTCAATCCCCACTATCAAAAAAAAAAAAAAAAACAGGGCTGGGGCTGGGGCTCAGCAGTAGAGCGCTCGCCTCTCACGTGCGAGGTCCTGGGTTCAATCCTCAGCACCACATAAAAATAAATAAATACAATAAAGGAATTGTGTCCAACTACAACTAAAAAATAAAATATTAAAAAAACAACAACAAAGGACAGGAATCACTGTCACACATGAAACTCAGGGAGGCAGGGACTTCTACAATGCTGATAGAAGCCCATAAACTGACCAGGAGAGGCCCCCTAGCAGCGGGTGGCAGAAGCAAGCATGTTCCTCAGCTGCAAAAAGTCAGCCTGGTTGAAACAGGAGTGTAGGCTCACGCTGGAAAGCAAGAGCTTGGCAGGGCAGGGGGGGACACCACCAGATGGCATGCTAGGAGGACAGATAGACACAACCCAGGGTGGAGGCCATGGGAATGGTTGCGAGGTCTCCAGACCTTGGTCTCAGCCTGGACCTGGTAGAAATTCAGGACCCAGGCCCACCCCAGACCTCCCGCCCATCTTGGCAAGGTGCCATGTGTCCACATGTCAGGTAAGAGGCTCCCGGAGGTATAAGCAGGACACATAAAAAGGGTCTGGCCCCGCAGGGTCAAGAACAGAGTCTCAGATGTGGGATTATGTAGAGCAAGACCCCTGAAGCCTCCAGCACGCTGATCCTGAGCATCTGGGAGGGGGCTAGCATGGACCCCCAGGGGCTGTCAACTAGCCTGCTGAGGGCAAGGCCAGTAGAAGCCCAGCCTTCCTCTGGCTGGCTGCGCAGAAGGGTGTGACACAGCAACACCTCAGACAGAAGCTTGACATTCCTCTCCAAAGCCAAGTGCCACTTATGCCAGGCTGAGGCCATCTGCCTTGGCATGCTGACAGCACAGTGGCCGGCCCACCTCTGACCCTCCCCATTACCTGGCTGGGCTATTCTCTCGCCCCTCAGATCACCCTGTGTCCCCCAATCTCTTGACAAATGAAGAGCCCTGGAAGACAGCAGCCATGCCGGGGGTCCCTGAGTCCTGCTCCCCATGCCCACCTGAGGGTGGGATGGTCCCACGGCTCCAGGCTTTCTGACCAGTGTCAAAGATGAGTGGGGGAAGACAGGGCCTCCCTGCCTCACCCCAATTCCGAACACACCCAATGCCACCAGCCCTAATTCCAGCCCTGCTTGGGGCTGTGCCCAAGCTGGTTCCCTGGCTCCAGCCCCCTCCCTGTACCTATTGGTTGCAGGTAAATGTGCTTCCGAGCCAGGCTCTGCTTCCGGTGCTGCAGGGAGGTGTGGAACGTCTGGAAGTCCTCAGGGGCCTCGGGGTGGCTCAGCAGCCAGTCAAAGGCCGAGTGGATGAGCAGTGTGCAAAAGAGGGTCCTCTGGGGATTGTAGGCCTCGGACAGGAACAGCCTCTCTGCCGGGGTGAAGGCCGAGGTGTAGAGCTGCTGCAGGCCGGCATCACTGGAGACCAGCGCATCCTTCAGGGCCCGAGGGCCGAAGCTGAACTCCTGGGCCTGTCTACACTGCAGCATGGTAGCCACACCCAGGAACTCCTGTTGCTGCCCATGAACTGCCCAGGAGACAATCACCGTCTCTTCTAGAATCTTCCCTTGAACTGACAGAAGTGGCTGCCAGGGGTTCCCAGCAGAAGGATGCTGGGCCAAGAGCCTGCGTGGCCCAGCCCTGCCTGGAACTGCACCTCCTTAGCAAAGCGAGGGAAGGCATGGGCACCTCCAGGCCTGCGGACACCCTACAGGGGACATAGAGCATGCCGCCGTCACCACTAGGCACACACAGGCCTGCTGTGTCAGGCACAGGGGAGCCCTACAGAGCCCCTGGATGCAGCACTTCCCCCCAACCAGGAACAGAGGGCACTCTTCTCTTTGTCCTTCGGGTAGACTGGGTAAATCTCCCTAGGCCTGGATTCTCCAGGCCTCACACTCTGCTGGAATCCCCGTGAAGGGCAGGGACCCATTCCTTGTCATACACCCAAACTGTGTCCTGAGCCCTTAGAAAGAAGGGGGTGCATACCTGTAATCCCAGAAGCTCAGGAGGCTGAGGCAGGAGGATCACAGGTTCAAAGTCAGCCTCAGCAACTTAGCAAGGCCCTAAGCAACTCAGCGAGACCCTGTCTCTAAATAAAAAATTAAAAGGGCTGGGGATGTGGCTCAGTGGTTAAATGCCCCTGGGTTCAATCCCCAGTACAAAATAAATAAATAAATAAATGAAGGAAGGGGTGTATAGGAAGAGACCCCACCCTTTGTGCTGAGCCCCTACAAAGCCAGAGGGGCCCCTCCATGCAAGAAACTGGAAGCTACTCTCTTTGTGATCCCTTGGGGCCATAACTGCACCTCTCTTTAACCCAACCATAAGCTTCCAGGCCAGAACCGTGGGTGTCCCCAGGAAGCACATGGAGGAGGAAGGCAGCACCAGTGGCTCCCCACCCAGAAGTGTCCAGGGCACACACAAGGGGTATGGAACACAAATTAGGAGGTCAAGGGCAGCTGCCAACCACTGCAAGCTAAATAGGGAGTTTCAGAGAAGCAAGGAACGGATCTGAACTACGGGGACAGCCTGGCGGGGAGAAGAGACAAGCAGGCCGACTGTGACACCTGCTCTGTCCTTCTGAGCCAGGAAAAAGGACTGGCGCAGCCATGTATTTGTCAGAAACACACCTGAAAAGCTGTCAGTAAGCCCTTGACTCTGGCTACCAGCTGCTTTGGGCCTTCCTTGATGTCTCGGTGCAGCAACTGACGCAGCAAAGGCAGGTAGGGGACAGGCTGGGTGGGGGACCCTTATGGAAGAGTAATAAAAGGACGGACAGGGATGAGGGGAACCAGAGGCCAGGGATGAGAAGATATACAAGTCACAGCAGAGAGCCCCAGGGGGACAAGGACTGAAGGTGGGACAGCCCCGGGCCATCCTCAACTCAGGAAGTTCAGACACAAAACCCACTTCTCTGCAGAGCACCAAGTGCGGGGCCTCCAGCCCCACTTGGAAACCAGAAGGGGGCTCCTTTTTGTATGAGAACGAGGACTCCACACTCTCTTTAACCCAATTTAAAGCATTCATCTGAAAAATATATTTATAGCTACTCAAACACTTAGGTTTGAGCAGAAAGTCTGGGGTACACACTTTATAAATCTTCCTTGGAAGGAAACATACACAGATGTATATAATGCATGCACATATAAGTCCATAAATGTGATTTTTTTTTTCCAGAGGAAAGCACTATCTTAAAGGAAGGACCCTTCCAGGATTAATTTCCATCAAGATCCTTCCCACACCGAGCTTTATATAGTTTCTCTCCATGTATATTTAACAAACTGAAGTTCCAACTGTATAATCTTATATCTTTTACTTAGTACTTTATGGCATTATCCCAGAGTTTTAAATATTCTATAAAAATGCCATTTTCAATGGCTGCCCCCCAAACACCAGAATGCCCGTCTTTGCTCACGAGTCTGTTTCCTTCTCCTCCAGATGGATTCCTAGAGGGGTTTCCATGTGCCGGGGTTTAAAGCATCTTGCTTTGTATTGCCAAGTCGCTTCCCAGAAGGGGTACGCTAGTTGACATTCCCGCCAGCCCTCAAAGTTCTGAGTAGAGAGCAACAAATAAAATAACTGCCCAGGGCATAAACCCCTCTGGGTTCCTAGCAGGGCTTTGCATTAGTGCCCAAAGATGTGGGTACTGGGTTCAGGGGGGTGAAAAGGTGGAGCCAAGCTGAGCCACAGCACTCACGAGAATCAGGTGCAATCAGAACACATAGATCCCGTGCCAGAACACCCCTACCCCATGCCCACTGACAGACTCCAGGACAGTTCTAGCTCCTGTGCCCATTCAGGACACGTAGGCAATACTGGTGTTTTGCAACACAATGAACAATTCACTCCTGGGTGTAGGAAAAAAAAAAAATCCACCAGGTGAATGAATGATGGAGAAGTTCAAACCCATGGCAATGAGAAGAGCCTAGTGGGCAAGTTTCCCAGGGGCCAGGGGTGTGCAAGGAAGAACACCAAGGAATTGAATTTCCACTGGCTCCCTCCCTTTGGAAGACGACCCAAGTCACTCAGAAGCAGCCAAGAGACTCATGAGTTTCCAAAAGAGGCCATGCTGATCCCAGCGCAGGAGCACATGTGAATTTATCAGTTCATCAATTCATCCTTCCAACAGTTGTACTAGTCAGGGTCTCCAGGGCAACAGAAGCAATAGGAGGGAAGCATTTTATAGGTGTGTTCATAAAATGTGTTATTTGTTTATTTATTGTTGTGGCGCTGGAGATGGAATCCATGGGTGCTCTACCACTGAGCTCCACCCCTAGCCCTTTTTTATTTGAGTCAGGGATCTCGTTAAGTTGCTTAGAGCCCCAATAAGTTGCTGAAGCTGGCCTTGAACTTGCAAACCTCAGCCTCAACCTTCCAAGTCACTACCATGACAGTTGCCACCAGGCCCAGCTAAGATATATTAGGAGGAATTGGCTCTGTGATTAAGGAGGCTAAGAAGGCCCATGAGCTGTCTCTAGCAGGTTGGGACCAAGGGAAGGAAGCAGTGAATTTCTGTCCACAGGTCCCAGTTCAAGGGCAGGAGAAGGGGAGAAATCCCAGCTCAGGCACAAAAGAGAGTGGATCCCTCCTTCTCTGCCCTTTGCTGTATTCCCACCCTCAAGGGACTGAAAGGTGCCCAGTACATTGGAGAGAACAGTCTGCTTTACAGAGCCCAAGACCCTACTGCTGATGTCACCGGAAACACTCCACAGACACACCCACAGTGCCTCACCTGCCTAAGTGAGACAGCCCAGTCACAGCCCAGTCAAGTGGTCACAGAATATTAACTGCTGCAGTTTCCAAGTGCCCCAGGCCCTTTGTTAGAACAAAACAGTCAGGTTGGTCTCAAGGGGCTTGGAGAGGCAGGACAGGTGGCAAAAGCATTGAAGGTAAATATTGTTGCACATCAGTTAGAAGGTGGCAAATGATACTGGAAGGAGAAAAGGCAGAACTGGGTGGGAGTCAGGAGTGCCGGACCCCGTGGCCATTTCCAAGACGGCTTGAAAGTGGCTTCGTCAGAAGGGAAGAAGTGGGGAGGGAGTCTGCTACTTCCCAGGAGGGGCGTGGAGGGTGTCCCAAGCCGAGAGAGCAGCTAGGAAGCCTATCCTCTGCCAACAGGCAGATGTGTTCTGGGGACAGGAGGAGGCTGGCCATCTGGCTGCAGTGCACAACGGGAAGAACAGGGGACAAAGTCAGGGAGGGATGGCCACATTGTGCAGGAACTCTGACCTTGGTCTGGAGGAAGTGGAGAAGGCTGTGGGATTTGAGAAGGGGCTCTAGGAGTCTGCCTTGTCCCCAGGCTTAGCCAGATGTCAGGGAGTATGGAGACAGCACCCCAGCAAGCCTCAGTGGGCAGTCAGTGGGCTATGAGTCAGGGACCCCAGGAGACTGAGCAGAAAACCCTGGAAGCCAAATGCCCTCAACCCCAGCTGGGGTTCTGGCATGAACTTGGTCATCTGACCTTTAACCCCACCGTGCCTCAGTTTCCCCCCAGACATGGTATCTCCTGCCTTCCCTGCCCAGAGCTTGGTTGGACCCAACAGAAGGGAGGGTTCCCAGCTCTGTGAGCAGCAAGATGTACCGAGCACCTGACTCCTTCGGCATCTCACCAGCCTATTTTGGTTTCTGGATGCTGGTCACAGGACCTGCCTACAAATGCCCCACTTGCCCTAGTCCTTCCTAACGCTCACAAACACCTACACCCCCACTCTGGAGCCAGAAGCAGTGCCACTCACCTACTTCTGAATTATTCCCTTAATGGCTCCACGTTGAGCATGAAAGTGTGACCCCCCATGTCACTCTCTCTGAGACCCTGTACCCAGATCTCAAGAGGCCTGTGCAGCCTCATTCATCTTCCCCACCCTCAGCTGCCACCAAAGGCCTCGGGCCCTGCCAGGTCATTTCTGCACAAGACAAGTCCTCGCACAGAGCCCGAAGCTGGAGGTGAAGATTATCCCTGGAGCCAGAGGTGCCTGTGGGGAGGAAGCTCTCCATCTCTCTCTGCTACCTGCCAATCCATCATCTTGGCCACAGTGATGGCTCCGAAAGAGAGACCTCCAAAACTGGGCCCTAGCCATGGCCTGGGCCCTCTCCTGCTAATTATCATCAGGACAGTAGCCGCCATGTACCAAGGTCAGCCACCACCTGCTGCGCCACCTGCATCACTCAATCCTCAGGACCTCACAGAGCTGCAGGTGCCACTGTATTTCAGATGGGGAAACTGATGCTCAGAGACATGAAGTGACTTAGCTGCCACCACACACCTGGTTTCAGTGTCATGCTTCACAGTGGAACCCCAACTCCTAGCATGCTTCAGGGGCTCTAGACAGAGACCCTCTAAAGGCAAGAAGAGGGTGGGACTTGTCCCTTCTGCAAAGCAATGACTTTTTTGCCCAGCTGCTATTGGTATGGAAGCCAAATAGCCAGCTTCCCTTTGTCTGGGGCACCTCCCTCTCTCTCCTGCCTGTTTTGCCCAAAGACTGGGGAA